CTCAGCCGCTCCTCCTCCGCACGGAACTTGCGGTCTCTCTCTTGCCTGGTCTTCTCTCTCTCTTCCCTCGGTAGCTGCTCCTCCTCTTGGGACTTCGCATCTTGCCTTTTCGCCACTCTTCGCTCCTCTCGCTCCAGCGGCTCTTCGGCAGGGAATTCCCGGTCGCGCTGCAGCCGGCGCCTTCTCTCTCGTTCTAGCTCTCTCTTCTCCTCTTCCTCTTGCAGGAAAGGCCTGTCCAACGCCTGAGAATCATCCAGCCGTCGGGTCTTCTCTTCGTTCTCTCTGCGTTTGGAGAAAACCCTGTTATTACGCACTTCCCTTTCTCTTTCTGGTTGCCACTGCCATTTCAGATCGCGGCGCTGATCTGCCCCCCGGAACCGCTGCTGCTCGTCCTCCTGCTCGTCCTCCTGATATTGCCTCTCCCTCTGCAGCTGCCCCTCTTCCTGCTGCAGCTGCTCTTCCTCCCGATATTGCCTCGCCCGCTGCTGGCGCCTCCTTTCCCTTTGCAGCTGCTCTTCCTCCCGCTGCTCCTCCTTCCTGAGCTGCTCCCGCGGGCCGTGTTTGGCGGTCGGCGTGTGCTGGCGCCTCTGACTTTCTTCCTCTAGTTGCGGCCTCAAGTCTTGGTCGCGGCGTTGCTCCTCCTCCTCCAGCTCCCTCCGCTGCAGCTCTCGCTCCCGGGGCCGCCTCTCCTCCTCCTGCTCCTCCTGTCGGCGAGGCCTGGAGTAGACTTTGCTCTGACGTGCTTCAGCCTCGCCATCCAGCTGCCACTGCAACCTCTCCCGGGCCTGTGCCTCCGCCTCCTCTTCAGACACCAGCTCCTGCTCGCGCCTCTGCTGCAGCTGTCTCTCTTGCGCCCGCTCGCGTCGCACTTCTGGCTCTCTCTTTTGCAGTTGCTCTTCCGGACGTTCGCGCTGCGCCCGCCTCTCTCGACTTGGTTCTTCTTCTAGATACTCCTCGGCGTCTCGACTCTGGCGTCTCCGCAGCTGCTCTTCCTCTGCGCGGCGCTCTTCGATTTCTTGCCTTTGCCAGTCGCGCTGCTCTCGTCTCTCTGGCTTCTTCCTTTGCTCCTCTTGCTCCCCGCGCTCCCGCTCCTGTACCTGCCTCCTCTGCCGGCGTTGGTGTGTAGGTTCCTCGTCCAGCTGTCTGTCCCGGGACTCGAATCTCCTTTGGTCTTCTTGCCTACGATCTTGTATCAGGTTCCCCTTCCTTTCACCCTGGACTCTCCTCTCCTCCTCCTCTAGCCCTGCGGCCTGGCCAAGAGCATAATAACAAGCCTGAGCCACCTTGAAAACCAGCAGGAGGAATTCATTGAAATCGACGTGCCCGTTACAGTCGCGATCCAGAAGTTCCAGGATCACATCTACCGTCTCAGGGTCATGTGGTCTCTACGGAAAAATCAAACAAACAAATTAGCATGTACAATTTAGCATGTATTGTTTACAGGCAGTAAAAATCTTATTCACACTTATATTATGCCAACTATCAAGAGATATTCAGAGCAATTAGAAAGAATGTGCAGTGTGTGTCAAGTCATTTCCCCACGTAAAATGTGAACACCTCATTTCAAAGCGTACATTTGTTGGCAATTTTCGTATCTTATAACCCAACTTCTCTTTAGCTGTTTGAATAAGAATGTACTTATCCTCAAGAGAGAGATAGCATGGAAATTTATGAAGATTTCTAGCAGCCATTGCTGTCTGAAGCAGCCAGTACTTCTCATCTGATTTCTTTTTCTTCTTCTTCTTTTTTTTTTTTTTTTTTGTGGCGCTGGGCCTTGTGAATGCAAGGGACACCCTTTACCAACTGAGCTATGTTCCCAGCCCTTCTCATCTGGGTTCTATTCCATGTTTGAAAGCAAACTTGGTGCTCTGGGCACAGTCCTGTAATCCCAAGTACTTGGTAGGCTGAGGCAAGAGGATCACAAGTTCAGGGCCGGTCTGGGCAACTTGGCAAAAGTCTGTCTCAAAATAAAGCTGAAAAGAGCTGGGGATGCAGCTAGGTGTGAAGCATTTGCCTAGTTTGCACAAGGCCCTGGGTTCAATCTCCAGTATCAAGACAAACAACTTAAAATATTTATGGCAATACCATTTTAGTAGAGAATAGGCTGATTTTAGCTCTTGAAGCTTGGAGGCACATTTAAATCTTTCCAAGTCTAGTTTGGTTTGCCATCTTTGGTGGCAGTGTCCCATGAACAGCTCATTCTTGCTGACAGTGCCATCAAGTAGATGAACTTGTTACCAACTTTTTAAATACTCAGGTTCAATGTCAACTAAATACCTTCAGACTTTGAAAAAGAATGAGGGATGTAGTGTAGACTTGGCCTGGTGTAAAGGGCATATAAGGTATCATTCCTTGCTCTGTCTCTCCTGAAGAAAATTCATAGTCCTAAATTAATGGAGCGGTTTCCTTTTCTTGTTAGTTCTTACCCGAAGGACATCTCCAAATTCTCTTTCAAGGAGATTCTTTAGGTCTTTCTTGCTTAGTGCTGCACCTTCACAACTATGGGAGGCATACTGATTGAAAATTTCGGTGATATCGAAGACGCTTTTCAGAAGTGGAGACATTTTTTTTCCTTCCTTCAAGTTCAAGTAAACCTAGAATAATAAAATAGAATCCAGAATCAAAACTCTGTTTCTGCTCTTGGGGGGCTTCATTCTCACTGTCTGAGGCAGAGCTCTAAACAATTTTACTTTAAGTACTAATTATTTCCAATCTGAGCTTTCAGAGCATTTTATTCTTGAATATGGTATTCAAAAGGAGGAAGAGAGATACTGAGAAATTTCAGAGAATCTTATGACAGACTTCTCATTGTCTATCCAATCTGGATTATCCATATCCTTTCCTTCTCTCATTCAGCTCCCCAGCACATTTCAGAGCAGATAGTGAAGAGTGCAGGAATTTAAAACTGTTATATTGCTACTCATAAGGACTTGCTAAAGTTGAACAAAGAGGAAAGATGAAATCCAAAAGATGAAGGAAGGCTTTAGTATATCTTCAAGTGGTTAGAGCCATGTACAGTTTATTTGCTGTTAAGTGTCAGCAAACACTTAGCAGCAAATGAAACAATGAAAAAAGAATTGGAATTATTCCCCAACATTATAGTCCAGAAGAGAACAAGAAGTATAATCCATAAGTCACCATTTCTAAGATTAAACTGAACTTCAAAAGATGACATTGCAACATTCAGATACACTAATGTAGCAAACATAGGATGCATGTTACCTGCCTTAACTTAGATATATTAAGGATATTCACATATGCACTTATAGAAAGATTATGAGAAGTCCTTCCTGATTGGTAGAGTCAATGGGCCAAATTGAGCCTGGAAACTGGATGATATTGGTCTTATGGTAAACCCCTGTTAAACCCAAATAAACCATTCAAATATTGGCATTTTAAAAAACATTAGGGGCTGGGGTATGTATAATAGCTCACCGCGAATGCCTAGCATGCACAAGGCCCAAGGTTTGATTCCCCAGCTCTGCGCACACACACACAAAAATCAGCCCCAGCAGACCAATGTTAAAAGAACACATAGATGGTTTTGCTGGCTGTGTGTGCATAGTGGTTCATCTTGGCAATTTTTTACCAAGATGCCTTAACTCCATGAAGCACCTTAGATGCCATAACTCTATGAAGATGGTCCATATGAGGTAAGCCAGATATGAAAAGAGACTAGAGGTTTGGCATACTTTCGAGCTGGTGATTTTTAGGAAGATAAGCCCCCTCAGAGCCACATGTTATCATTCCCTGATGTGCCAAAGTATTGGGTTGAAAGCCTGGAGCCAAGGGCCACGTAGGGGTCCAACCAAACCAAGGTGGGATGGAGTCCATGAGAACTAGCCACCACTGAAAGAGCCCCTGGCACAGAGGACCTGCCCAGCACATAGAACTTGCCCTCGTTCCCCAACATCCACCATGGCTGGACGACTGAAGAAGGACCCAGAAGAACACGATCCCACAGAATGGGACTTACCACTTCACCAGAGGAGGACGTTGAGTGCTCGCTGACACTGCTGGCAAGTGTACTGGGTAACTGGCAGCCGGGCCTTTTATAGGGGTTTGAATTGTGCCCTGGAGAGCAACTTGGGAAGGAGACACCCACTCTGTGGGCTGGCCTGATTCATCCCAAGCCCGGCTCCACCTCTGTCTCTACCAAGGGCTTGTTTATCTCGCTATTTGCTCATGTAGCTATTTGGCACGAGGTTCACAGACCTTGCCTCCTGACATGCTAGGGTACCGGCCCCACCTAACATGAAAGGGTAGAATATTTGGCTGAATTTCTAGTTCTCTCTAATTGTTAAAAGTAAGTTAAACAATAAAACAAAGGTATTAAATGTTCCAAATCTCTATTGATTATGACTTCATTACAAAGGAAGCAAACTCTGAGCCATTTACTTTATAAAAGATTTAAGTTCTAGGTTAGAATTAAACAGAATCTTTGAAATAAATTGATGAGAACCAATTAATTTCTCCGAGGCATGCTCATAAGCCTTGCCTGAAACAATTCTCGGACAATGGGAAAGAGATAAGGAATTGTTGTGTGTGTGTGTGTCTAACATTTAGTTTTTAGTTTTAGATGGACACAGTATCTTTTATTTTACATTTATGTGGTGCTGAGGATGGAACCCAGTGCCACAAACATACTAGGCGAGCACTGTATCACTGAGCCACAACCCCAGCCCCAAGAGATAAGGAGTTGTTAAACTGCTTTTCTAAAACATGCAAGTGGCAAGACATTTTACATTTGTCTTCTTAGGTTTTATGACAATGGTTTCCCTACAGATTGGGGGTTGCCTCTGCAGTGGACAATTTTGGAGTGTACCTTAAAATGGGTTTTTGTTAAACTGTTATAAGCAAACATGAAAGTGTGAAATTTCATTCTTAGAGATATTAGTTTCTAAATGAAGTTTGTTCATTTTATGCTTATTAGCATATTGATGTCCCCAGAGCAAAAGAGCTAATGTAATGCGTTATTGTAGATATAATCATCCTTCTCAGCCCAAGTTACTAATGATTATGACATCTAAACACTTGAGTTTGCTTCTCCTGGAAGCGCATTAAGCTAATCGGTCATTCTAGCCCATTATAGCCATCAGCGCTTTCTCAACCTTGGTGACCATCGGTGAATCTTAGTGCTGTTTTATTGTCAGGAACTAGGTTTTATCCCTGGTCATCAGCAACTCCCACCCTTACGTTCCAGACTACTTGAGACTTTGGTTCATAATAGGTTTATGGCGACTATTAAATGATTCAGTGGCTTCTCTGCATTTCTGTCTCATCCTTTGTTCAGCAGAGGCAAGTATTGGTTTTCTGAATTTCGAAGAGACTTCGGGGTACTTCAGGTGGCGAGTGAAAAATACAGAACCTTGATGTCTATTCTTTCAACGTGACGCCTGTCCTGAATGATAGCGAAGTTGAATGTTATTTGCCCCCTTAGACGCTGCTCTCCCGGATGTGGGGTGAAGAGGAAGGTGGAAGTGATAGGAGACGGGAAAAACAACTGTAAACCTGGCTGCCTTCCGCCTCCTTAAGAGCTTCATTACTGAAGTCTGTGATTTAGAAGTTTCCTTTGAACTGTCAGAACTGTCGCTGTTTGATAGCTTAGTAAGTCAGTTTGATGGGACAGTTCTTAGTGAGGCTTGAAGACATCTTTTGTTCTTCTATTTAGGATTTTATACCGTTCCCTTAATCTTTGGGTTTTAGGTACACAATGAGCAGTGCCACCGAGACGTGGCAGAGCCCCTTTATCTTCCAGAGCCCTTGAAGAGATCACCTGCCCAAGGCTGGCCTTAATCCGCTTCTGTTTTTGCCTGCTTCTGGGTGACCTTTGGGGCAACTTCAGCACAGGTCCCCACTGTGAGTGAAGCTAGATCTTAAATCCAGTAGTGGCTTTCTTAGAGATTCTTGTTCAAAGTCAGGACAGGATAAGAGAAACTATTTTAAAACCTGCCAAAAGCCTCAGGAAATTTACCTCTCTTCCTTTCTGAATCTTGGTCCATTAGTAAATAGGTTCAAATGATAAATCCCATCATCAGATTTGATACCCTTCTGATAAAGTGGCCTTCATTGCTATATAATGTTCTTTTATTTTACACTGGGTCATTATTTAAGAATATCGTTTTACTAGGAGTTCTTCACATGATGTTTGGACACGGAAAAAAATAAATTGTTTTCTAATTTCTTAAAAGGTTGCAAAATATCAGAGATTATAGGAAAATTTCAAGTCTTTACAAATTGTTTTGGTCTACTTTTTTAAAAATATTTTTTCAGTTGTAGATGGACACAATACCTTTGTTTTATTTATTTATTTTTACGTGGTGCTGAGGATCGAACTCTGGGCCTCACAGGTGCTAGGCAGGTGCTCCACCACTGAGCCACAACCCCAGCCCTGGTCTACTTTTTTTAAAGGTCAACTGGAAATTCTTGAAATGTGCTGGTGTCCAGCCATTGTGGAGACATCCAAAAATAATGGTATTTTTATAATTTGAAGACCTCTATATTTTTATAGACAAAAATTTTTTCCTTTCTAAGACTTAGTATTAAGGCCAAAGGACATTATTAACTGGCCCAGGAAGGGATATTCTGCAAGTGTCCTTCTTTATCAGTTGGTCTAGAACTGACTTTGAGACTTGGACTCTTTATACTAGAAGAATTGAAAAGAGAAAAAATATTTGGATCACCCAAACGCTTTAACATCACAATAATCATGGCCCCCTCCGTGCCAAGATCTTTGGATGTGAGGCTTTGATGGATTAACAAAAAAAGAATTAAGGAAGCATTTGTTCTTCTGATTTTTATTTCATTCAAGGACTCATTTCCAATTTCCTCCTCTTAGAACCTAGGAAAAGGAAGATAATAGATTTGACATTATGAGGCATTTTCTAGGACCAGGTTCTGCCTGTGATTAGATGGCTCCAAAATGAAAATGTAAATAAAGTGAAGAAGGTTGCAGGGTCATATTTGGGGCTGGGGATATAGCTCAGTTGGTAGAGGGCTTGCCTCGCATGCACACGGCCCTGGGTTCAATCCCCAGTACCACAAACTTATGCAAAAAGAAAAAAAGAAAAAACCACCACCACCAACAACAACAACTTATAGACCAAGATCATATTTAGCCTCATGAATTTCTTGAGAACCAAATATAAACCATGATATTCACACTCTGGGAAAATGTCCAAAATAGGATGATATTAGATGACTTTGAAAGAAGTGACATTCTTTTGTCAGTTCTTTAAACACCTCTTTGGTAGGGACTTTTTCTTTGACATGATGTGACATTTCTTTCAATTCTTCCCACTGTTTTCTCTTCGTTATTGGCCTACTTGGGATCTCATCTCAGCCAAAACCTAACACGGTTTACTTGAAGTCACTCAAATTCCATCTCCTCCCCCCAAACCTTTCTTGACTTTTACCCACCATAATCTCCCCCTTAAAATTGTCCCCACAGCATGCACAGTCAGGGTCATAAGCCTAGTGCTAGTTAATGTCAGATGACGTATAATTTTGTGTTCTTCTTCTCTCTAATTTAATGGATGCTTACTTTGTCTTCTCAATTAGGTTTTATGTCCCTTGAAAGTGGTGCTGTACCTTTTCTTTCTACTAGGTGTTAATAAAATCCTTGCTGATCTGTGATAATTTTATTGCATTGTGGCAGTCGAAGTGGCCAGCCGGGCAGAATGAGATGAGTTGCTGACGCCGGAGTGGGTCATCCATTTAGGCCATGGCTTGAGGATGAGGGTACTCACTCTCACGGGAGTCAGCCCTGCTGGGGCCTCTTTCTAATTTCGCCACTTAGGAGGCAGATGACAGAGGAGGCAGTACTCCACCCCTCTCGGCCTTCCCCTATGTCCATCGCTTCACCCCCGTGTAAATTGAGGAGCTGCAAGATATGAATCCCTTCCTCATAGGGGAGCTGTGGTAATTACAGCTTGTAAAGCATTTTGTGATTCTTAGATAGAAAGGGCTAATTATTGTGATCATTAATAATTCTTAATTTTTATCTTCTTTAAGGTAAATTATCCTTACTGTAATTACACCCCCACCCTGCTAGTAATTACACCTCTGAGAGTCAGCAGATGCTTTTGTCTGACATCATGCTATTCGAGGTGACTGGCACCTGTGAGCACTTCCACCTTCCGTCCATTCCCACTGTCCCCTAGAGTAGCAGAGGGCTCCTAGATTTCTGTCATTAAACTAGACATGGATTTCAAGTTATTTGTTTTCTCTGCTCTGTAATTGAATCTGTATCCTAACCAATGGCTCCTCAGTGTCACAGAGCTTTGGGATTTGTCAAAAGACACCCTGCGTGGGACAGATGAATTTAATTTTTATAATTTACTGGGAATGATGGAAGCAGGCATCTTTGACTAAGCCATCAAGATTTTAATGGAATTTATTATTATAAACAAGGTCCCTGCCACCATATGAAAGAAGGATCAGAGTTTCTCAAGGGTAGAAGTGCTCTAGAACATTCTATATTCTTCTTAAACTTGGCTCTGTTTCTAGTAGAAGGATAAGCCCTTCTTTGAAATGAGGTGAGAGAATGCGTACCTAAAGAATTAAAAAAAAATTTTTTTTGAGAGAGGTTTTGTGCCTGAATAAAAGGGTATAGCATAAAGGGGTTGAAGCTAAAGCAAAACATAATTAGTGTTTGAACTGTTGGAGTAGAGGCCATGGCCTCCCAGGTGTGGAAGGGGCACAGGTAGGCATGTGCCAGGCTAGCTTAGAGTGTTTGCTCGAGGCCCAGGCCTGCAGTCGCTTCCTCACGTCGTGATACCGTTACGAGTTCGCATCTTGGGTGTTTCAGCACTTTCAATACCATCCTGGGTCCAAAGTAAGTTATGGGGAAGAACAAAGCAGTCATCTGTGTGACAGCCAGGGCTCAGCGTGGCGTCCACCTGACCCTTCCTTCCTCTCCAGAAGGGGGCCTTTGGAGCTCCACTCTCTCCGGTCCCCAGCTTCCTTCCTCTTTGATGATCTCTTCTGTTGAGTTCCACACGACAGCGGCCCCTTCTTCCAGTCCCCTTCCTGGGCTTTCTTTCTTCTCCTTCTAAATCCCCTCCTCGCCCACCACCTTCAACACCATCCTGAACTCAGGTGGGAAATGGGATGGGCTGAAGGAACTTCGGGGGGGACCAGTCGGGGCCCTTCTCTCTTTGTCTCCAGCGAGGATCTGACTGAGCCAAAAGCTTGGGTGAAGAAGGGGAAGACGGGGTGCTGGGTGCTGATTGGTTCCTCCCACAGGAAGTCTGCAAGCATCGACTGCGCCCTCTGTTCCACACCAGGCGTGTACTGCCTTACAACAGAGCATTCCCCCACCTCTTCATGGTTTGGAGTGGGGTGTGTGTGCAATAAGGAAGGCTGAATTCTGAAAAGAAGACCACATATTAGTGATTAATTTGTACAGTTGTCCCTTGGAATTCAACGGAGGAGGCTGGTTCCAAGATCCCTGTGAATGACCAAATCCAAAGATGCTCCAGTCCTTTATATGAAGTTGTGGAGTCTTTGCATAGAATCATGTGGACCTCCCATGTACTTTAATTCATTTCTAGGTTACTTACAATACTTAGTGCAATACAAATGTATGCAAATAGTTATTTTTCTGATTGTTTATGGTATAATACGGTATAGTGCCTGGTACCAAGCCTGGAGTAGACTAGAGAATTTAATAAATGCTTTATGGACCCAAAGGGACTTACTGTGGGAAGAATCAAGACTTTTTTCTTATTATTGTTTCCAAAAAACAGAGTATATTATTTTTAATTAAATAATTTCAAGCCTTAAAACCACTAAAATGATTGTTCAATAAACATTCATGTTAGCCTTTGGGCTTTTCTGTCAGAGGTACAGTTGAAGTTTTTCAGGTATTTTTCTTTGACCCGTTCTCTGCAGATGAGAAGAGCTGGCATGCTGCCATCCTGGGTGTCACCAAGCCTGTCCCACTCTGGGCTCATTGCTGGCTAACGTCAGGCCTGGGCCGAGGGTGAATCAGGAAAGGCTCATCTATAACCACATCTTTTGAAAGTATTTCCCAAACTACAAAAGAAAAAAAAAATGCTTTCAGCAGCATAAATTGGATCTTTGAAGCAAATTATAATCTACGTGTTATAAAAGGAGATTAATTATAACATGCCATAGGGGGAAAAATCAGATTTTTTGATATGAACATAATCGTTTCTCTCAGGGCCAGCACATTTCAAAATCAGAGTCCCTTTCTTTATGCTTTTCAAGTTAACAGCTCTTTGAAAATCCCCGAATACTGGCCCTAGAATATTGGTTTAAACACCCTCATGTGGTCCACGGTACCTTGCTACCCAGCTAATCAAAACCAAATTAGGAACTGCACTTGGTAAGAGGGAGTAAACGTTGAAAGACATGACCCTAAGCATTCAGTGAGGATGTGGTGGAGGGCTGTTGTGATCTACAGGTGTTCTACAGGAGGAAGGGAGCACTGCCGAGGAGATGGGCTTGTTCTGGACAGAGTGAGCCCGCAGCCCAAGGAGAATGGATCGGAGGACAGAGGTTTGTGATCATGGTCAGGAGGCTGCATCATTGCCTTGTTTCCAGCAAAACACGGTGGTGATTAGACCCAGCTGCAGTGTTTTCCCCTCGACAATGTGATGTGCAGGAATCAGAGTTGGTCAAGACCAGTTTGTGCAGCTGATGAAGGCGGCACGGGGCAGAGAGTGTCCTGTTATCAGATACCAGGGCAGTGACTTCTGAGAGTCATGGGTGCACCTGGAAGTAGGAAGAAAGATGAGGCGAAGGAACAGTCTGACCAGTCAGACCACAGAGGAGCTGTCTTGTTGACCAAGGGCTGCATTTCCTTGGTCCTTTCAAAGGTTGACCGTACAGAAGAGAATGTTCATTTCAACCATTGTCCATTCATTTAGGAAGCAAGTGAGTAGAGTAAGGTCCAGCTTCCAGGAGAGCAGGTTCTGTTTGTGGATTGATTCCCAGTGCTTGCCATTAGGGTACTCGGGAAACCTTGATTGAAAGAAGGAGTGAATGGCATTCGTGTGTCATATAGAAAACCATATACAAACGCCAGGACCAGAAAGTAACCCATGCGAGTTCAGAAGCCACTTTTTTGATGGGGAGATTCGGAGGAAGAAGAAGGGTAGAAAAGAAACATGGAAGAGAAGTCCCCACGATGGACTATCAGAAGGTGAGAGGTCACAGGTTAGCCTTTTTAAATCCTCCTGGGAGTACTGAAAGGGTGACTAGATTGTCAGAGCACAGCAGGTGGGAGGGCGAGAGTAGTGACATTACCATTAATAGCCTAGTTCTTGCTACGCTGGCCTTATTGGGGAGATTAATAGCAGAGGTTGGGGAAAAGAAGTTATTTTTGCCGTGGGGCTCATTTCATATCTATATCTTAAGAGCAATTCCAGAGAGTATCACCTGGGCCAGTCTGGGCTTCCTCTGCTGTTATTATTCAAATAAGGACTTTGAATAAGCAGAATTTGTCTCAGGAAAACTGCCAGGGGCACCAGTTTGGTGAGTGTAGGTGTACTGCTTTTGCCCCACATTGGCTCATGGAGAAGGCCTTGTGTGCCCAATTCAAGCACCTGCTATTTCCATCCTGATTCTCTGTATTCAGCAAAATTGGATCAATTCCTTCTAATCACATTTAGAAAGTGCTGGCCCATGTACTGAGAACTCAGACACGGACCAGACAGGTCTCTGTCCTGCACCTTCAGTCCAGTGGGGGAAGCTCTGGCCTATAAAGCATAATGGTGGGAGTCTATTTTTTGTTGTGATCATCATCATTGTTGTTGACATTATCATCATCATCATCATCGTCATCGTCATCGTCATCGTCATCATCGTTGTTAGCAAGTCCAATAGTAAATGTTGTTTCAAGTAATCTGCACCAACCCTGTATGGTAAGCACAATTATTCTCACTGTGTAGACGGGGGAAATTGAGGCTTTGAGATGTGAAGTGACTTACCTAAGGTCACAGAAGTTGGCGAATAGCAGAAATGTAATATGAATGCTTAGATTTTTTATTGTCATTTCACGTTACTCTCTTAATTCTTTGCGGCCTGTGTTGAGACGGCAGCACTGTGCTATGGAAAGCATCCGTCGAGAAGTGTCTTCTTTACCAAGTAGAAGGACTCCATGCTGTACAGTGGTGTGGCCCTCTGCAGCAGGTGCCCTCATCAAGAAGGGGGTCCCCTCTCCCGATCGGAGAACAGAGGTTTGTGATCATGGTCAGGAGGCTGCATCATTGCCTTGTTTCCAGCAAAACATGGTGATGATTAGACCCAGCCGCAGTGTTTTCCCCTCGACAACGTGATGTGCAGGAATCAGAGCTGGTCAAGACCAGTTTGTGCAGCTGATGAAGGAGGCACGGGACAGAGCGTGTCCTGTTATCAGATACCAGGGCAGTGACTGCTGAGAGTCATGGGTGCACTCTGACGGCGACTGGCTACAGCTTGATTATAATCATTAAGCTTTTACAGGACACTGAATGTATTGCAAGGGGTTTTTACAATCTTTTTATTAGTTGTTCCCCATCCTGCCCAGCCTGAAAGAAGGGCTGCCACCTCCGCTCTGCAGGTGTGGAAACAGGGACATGGTGGGTTAAGTTGCCTGCCGGAGGTCACGCAGCGGCTGAGCTGGGGTTCCATCTTGTTGGATTGGCCAGATAGAGCCGGTTCCTTTGGGCCAGTGGATTGATGGAGGGACCAGGAAGATTGAAAGCAATGAAGTAATTACCTGGGGCTACGGAAGGAAGCAGAATATTTTGAACTTTGTATTTTACTTTCTGACGTGAGTTTTGTTTGGGTGTCGAGAATTCGCTGAATCAAAAGTCAAAGGCCAGGCATTTCTCACTCTCTTCTGATTCTCCCTTTCTCCGGTACCATTTATTCCCCTTATTCTCTAAAGGAAGCGGTTGGTCCTGGACCAGTGATTCCAGGTTCCAGGCCTTTAGAGAAGGCACAGGTGGGCAGTTCTGATAATGCTGAGTAGAGGTCTAATGAGAAGGTCAAGGTGACTCTCTTTCTTCTTGGAGAAGGCATTATGCCACCCTCTTACTCTTCTTACAGGGCTTCTAGAGAGAGTGTTGGTCATGAGATCTTCCAGGTGCTTCAGAAGCTCATGTCACCTACATTTAGGAACTGGGTGGGTAAGCAAATTGAAATGGGTTCTTTGTTCTTCATTCTTGTGACACAGGGCTTTTCAAGCCCTCTAATCTGCACGGTGAGTTTCCAAAGGGGGACTGTAGCCTAAGCGTTGCTGAAACGCGCGGGCCGCAGACTGCTTTCCCCTCGCTCTGTCTGCTGGTGGGGACACTTTATACCCCTGAGAAAATGTGACCAAGCGTATCCCACTCAGACGGGCAGCCCACAGCCCCCTTCCTTCTTTCCGTGGCTCCTCACTGGGCTTCTTTTTGCTCTTATGGGAGGCACAAGGCAAAATATCTTACTTACTGTCTAAACCATTTAAGCATGAGCCGGTAACCAAAGCCAGAAAATGAACCAGACATCCTTTGAACCGAAATTCCATTTTTAGTCTTGGCTTATTACACCAACTGAAATGTAATAAGTGAGTTTGGTTAAAGAGTATGTGTTAGGACATAAGTTACTATATAGAGACTTCTTTTTGTACAAGGTAGTGTCAGGGTGCAAGAATGTGTCTTTAGGATCTGTTAATATTTTTAATAGATTCTGGCTGTCCATGTGGTAAATCGGGAGCCTGGGGGTCTGTGTTGTGGGACAAGCTCAGAACTGGTATTCTCTGTGACCTTAGGTGAGTCACTTAAACTCTCTGGGCCCTACGTGTCTACCTATAAAACTATAATGACTCCTGCGTCCTCTCTGGGTTGGGAGTGAGGGGTGTGCTGGAACAAACTGGATCATAAGTTGTGAAGTATTTTTAGCTTATAGGGGGAAAAAGGACAGGAAGAGAATTTTAAGTTTCTCTCTGTTCTCTTCTTCCCATAACATCTAAGTATGAAATCTTGGGGACAGATCTACGAAGAGACAGATGAGGTCAGGAAGAGATGCCTATGAATGGGACTGGCCCGGAGCGTTCACACAACTTGATATGGAACACACTGCCCTCCTTGGAACCCCCATGAGCCACCGTGAATGCTGAATTTTGTCTTTCTTTCCTTTTTTCTGTTGTTATTGGGGGGTGTGCAGTCTGAATCTTTTAGACTTCTGCATTAAGTCTTTACTGGGTGTCAGGACTCAGAATAGTCTCTTCATTCAACCTCATGGAATACCCATTTGCTGAGATCCAGGCCCGTTTGCTGGGTACTCGTTCTCCCCTGACCTCCTCTTACCATCAGCCCAGGAAGTCCAGGCTGCTCTTCATATGAGATCCGCGGGATCTGACGTCTCGGCAGTTTCCCGCTGTGCTTATATTATCATGATACCCATTTTCCGAGGAGGAGACGGAGGCAGAGGTTGGAAGGATTTGCCCGAGGCCCCGGGGTGACTCATGAACACCAGGTGGAGGGATGAGGCTGAGAGATTCTTACCCCCTGACCTCACTCCCAGACCGTGTACTGTACAGTCCCTGTCCTCTCATGGACCGGCCTGCTTGGGAATTGGATTCCCAAACTTTCCTGGTACCTTTTCCCATTCATGGTTAGTCTTTGCCGGAATTCATTTGTCTAACGCATCATTCAGCACATCACCTCTCGGTGGTTCTCAGGTCACTCCCCAGGGCCTCTCACCTGTCTTTCTACTTAAGATTTAGTCCAAGCTGCAGTAAGTGTAACCCTTCACTTGCTCCAGATTCTCTGGGCTCTGGCCCCTGTGTCAGAGGTCTGGAATAACTATCTTATGCAGAGAGGTTGCTCAGGAGGGGTGGGAGACGATAATTTGTTAAACACATTCCGTTGTCATGCTCTATACGAGATACAAAAACAACATAATGAACCTATGAGTGGGCTGTTCATATTTTGCTGA